ATTACAGACTAAGAAGCAAGGAATTCACGGCCAGCAGTTAAACCAGCAAACTTGTAGCTGAACGCCAAGTAAATAATTACAGAGGGTAAAATGATTCAACACACAGCTATGCCATTGCCTACTGACTGCACAGCAAAGACTTTGATTCTGTCAGTCGGTCATGCGAAAGTTAACTATTTTAAACACTGAAGTTGCCGCACTAAGACATGAAAATCGATAATCCAACTTAGTTTTCCACGAGTTAATGATATGACGACAAAAACGAAACATAATAATAAGGTATAATGAACATCACACCATAAAACTACCCAACAGAACAACGCCTCAAGATTAATAAGGTATTAACGAACTGTATCTTCAGGACTTTGAAGCACACCTAAAGAAGAAAACGGAGGAGGAGGAGGATAAGAAGTGGATAAAGAAGGAAACAGAAGATAAAAAAATGTATTTTTAATGGTTCGAAGTGGATCACAGGCACTTCCTGCTGTATCCGTGGCCGACATGACTGACAGAGTCAACAAGTGTGTCTTTCGTCCGTAGTGGTTAAGATCTGTAATGTATTAATTCCAAGTGAACGGTTCATTTATACATGGAAGGAATCCATAGTTCAAGCTAGCATTCCACCGAAAACAAGCAAAGAACTTTTGCCTAACATCTAGGACTACTTTCAGCAATAACACCGACTGACATGATCAGGTTTAAGTGATTACAGAGATGGATTTAACTGGTAACGCGTCTCGCCCCGCCATGGCTTACAGAAGGTAAGTCCAATCACAGGAACCACACAAGATTACTTTATACCTATGGCCATGTTCATAAGATTTACATGTTCTAGCGTCAAGGGAGAAGGACTTTAACAAGGGAGTGGTCTGTTCTTACTGTTTAGTAATAGAGATCGACGCCGATGTTTGTTAGCGCTTCAGCTGCATGAAGGTAAAACTCTAATTCGTTCTCTAACATGAACGCGAGCCTCACAATCGATGGCTTCCTGAAGCTTCTTCTGCTTGAAACTTTTTTCCAAGAACAGAAAACAAAATATGGGCAAGAAAATTTACTTCAGTAAAACTGAAACCTTCGTGGAAAGATACATCCGCGCATGGATCTGTCAAATATTCAATACAACAGCTGGAAGCTTGATAGCACTCTTTCAGTTTTAGAATAAATGTTTTCCAAAACGGTCCTCAAGCATGAGATAGAAATGTCAAACTCCGTTCTGTATATGGCCCTTGTTTATCGAGGGCAAAACGCTGGAAACAAAAGTTTCCTCTCTCATGGTTGAAATTCAATTTTTCAAAAGCTTGTTTTACATCTTCGGATGTAGTCTATTTTATGGTGAGCTATC